AATACATCATCTCAAAAATGTAATCAAAATGGTTCATCTTATTCTATGAAAGAAAATAGTGTACTTCAATCTGATCATCATAATAGTACTCATAAAACTGCTTCATCCTCATTAAATCAATCATTTAATAATCAATATGATATTCATTCTTCAATAGCAACAAATCAATTAAATACATTCGATCATAATCATCAACATATAAATACGTTTCATCGGATATTATCTTCTTCACTACCATCCATTGATAATACAACTAATGATAATGAAGATACACATCAAAATTTTAAAATTGAATATGAACATAATGATTCATCAGAAGATATAGCTATTGAACAACCGAGAAATTGTATGGAAACATGTAATTTACAACGAACAATGACATCTTTACCAATTCGATTACCATCATTATCTAATACAGATAGATTATCTAATGAAAGTCCTTCGTTTTATTATCGAACTAATTCGACTCCTTCATTTATTCAATAAAAATATATCATTTTACGAACAATTATTTTTTTTTTTCTTTTCTGTTTTGCGGAAATTTCGTTAGTTTTCTATTTGAGTTTGCTTTTATTATAATTAAACAAAGAAATATTAAGAAAATTTCAGTTACTGAATAATACGGTTTTCTTTCATATTTTAAATTCAATCTTTCATCGAGAAGATATGACATATGAAGGTTAATCAATGTAACATTCAGTATTTTGCCAATATCTCAGCATAGATAAATTCTTTAATCTTGGTTTTTTGTTTGGGATATGCATTCATTATTTTGAGAAGAGTAAAAATAAGAGTCAAAAATAGCCTTCATCTAATTTCAAACAAAACTTTTCATTAAATTAATTATTTGCTTTCCAATAACCATTAAAATAAGATAACAGAAAAATCATGAATGTTCATGAAAAATATAATCACTATGATGTTGTTCAGCTGCACCAACTCTTTGAAGCAAACAGTCGATCGCATTGCAAACATAACTGACGTAGTCTTTTTTTTTTGAAAACTTTCTTGTGCTTTAACCTTGTGATAATCAATGTGTTTATTAACACTATTCCAAATAGAATAATATAATTCATTCAAGTCTAGTGAGTCAGAAGACCAATAATGTTTAGGTACAGACGACTTGAAATTCTTTTTTGCACTATCATTGAGATCTTTCATTAGTATGCGATATCAGTTTATCTCGTTACAGACATCAGCCTTGATGATAAAATAATCCGTTATTCTCGGCCTGCTAAAATAGTAACAATTCATCACGATATACTATGCAAAAATAATCAATGTTAGTCTCATTTTTATTTCTCTCAAAATAATAAGACATTTCATCGTTACACGATGTTTCACTTTCATCCTTAGAAAAAAAAAAATCATCAAACTAACTTGGTAGAATTTTTACTTGTGTTGAGATATTTGCAAAATACTAAATGTTGCAATCATGATTCTACACCTGGTATTTTATTAATTTATGATCAAGGTTTTTTTTTTTAATGACTTTTTTTTATTCTATTAATCATACGATATTAAGAATATTCATAAAATATACATGGATATTCTTTTTCCATTATATTTGAATTCTTTTCAATAATCAATATGATTTGTTTGTAGTTACTAATCGAATCTGCGATGAATAAACAGTCATTAATTGTATTATAAAGAATCAATGACCATTTCCTAATAAATTTTTCATGATTTATAGTTTTGTTATATTCAAAGTATTGTACTTCAGTTATAATATCTTTTCTATCAGATCTCTATTTTTTAAAGTTTTTTTTTTACACATAATTTCACTGTTCATTGGACTTGATTAACTAATTATTCTTTTTTTTGCATCATAAATGGATACGTTGAGTTTTTATGAAAATATACAAAGCTGATACTATTAAGTAAACTATAAAAAGAAAATGAAGGGTTTTTTTTTTCTATTCATGAAGCACATTACAAAGTATTTCTTTTTTTAATGACTTCAGTTTATTGAATTATTTTGATCTTTAAATTGTGTTGTTTTATAGAAATTTATTTTAATATGTCTTACTATAAAAAAAAAGAAATCGAATGGTATCAGGTCATAATTCAAACAATTTAAACAGAAACTGTTCCTAAATTTTTCTAGAAATGAAAAAAAAAAGCTTTTTTTTTTTTTGCATTTTGGGTAAATAATGACAGCTTCGAATACTAATTTGAAAAATTTGTTTGTAGCAATAAAAACTCGATGCATTCATTTTTGATGCAAAAAACACTAATAGATTAAGTTCAATCCATAGTAAAGTTATTCGAAAAACGTTTTCCAACATCCTTCGGTATACTGATAGTACATCTATTCGATAAACATAAGAGTCAAGGTTCACTTTTTAATGAAGAAAGTTTTTTTTTTATTTCGTTCTGTTAATATTCTATTGCACTGTTAGTCCAGTTATAACAAGCATTTGATTTATCAATATTTTTTAATTCTAAAATAAAAATAAGTTGGATATACGAATGATAAATGTAATTGTATTGAAATAATACACTATAGATGAGAAATCCTACTATCATCGATTGAATCAATACAAACGGTAATCTATATGAAGACTTTCAAATACGGTCATATTATACAGTTTCTAATGAGAGAATATATTTTGAACACTAATCAATGCATAGTTCATTATATATCTCAAGTAATAGTTATATTGATCCATAAAATTTATCAGACCTTTATTATTTTTTTGTAATGTTAATTTAGAAATTTTATTAGGATACTTTCTTTTTTTTTTTATTGACAATTATGAATCAAAACATAGCTTAAATGTGCCATAAAAAAATCATATAAATGTATATTGATTTATATAATGTATCACGAAATGAATCAAGGTCTATACATTTAGTTGTTTCATTTTCATTGATCGACCTTATTCAAATCCATGTTACTTTTCATGCAATCTACATTGACAGTATGCAAATAAAATTGACTATAGTATATTTATATATGCAAAAAACGTATTTTAAAAAGACAAATAGAACCGAACTACTAATAGTTATAATATTGGCATGTAACAATTTGTATTCTTCTTATTGACAGATGACAAACAGCAAGCAAATGAAGGTCAAAACTAAGACTAGTTAAAGATGTGTTATTTTTATTTTGAATTATTCTCTCAATGATAGAAATGTGGTTTTGTTATTGTCTTTTTAAGATAAGAAGTCATTTCCTTGCCTTCTATTGCGTTTTTTTTCTTTCTACTAAGTGTAACACGCGCATCCGCATGCTTTTGTTATTAAATTTATTGTATACGAAGGTCGTTCGTCGTTTCTATCAGTTTTTGTGTACGAGTGTGTAGAAAAAAACATTCCGGATTACTCTGTTTCTCAGCCAATGCTCGTCACTATAGCGGTCCTTACTTACATACACAAATGTGTGTAAAAAAAAAAAGAGAAAACATATCTTTGTTGTTTTTCTTCCATTTTCTTTTGGCGTACTGTTCTAAATTCTTACGATGTCATTTTGACAAGGAAATGACAAGCGAGAAAGAGAGAGAGAGAGAGAGAGAAAAAACCTGTATAGTCCACTAGAGTCTTTCATTAATACATTCGTTATATTTTATGCGTACATACAATATTTGAGTGAGTGCATATAGTATGACAAACAATAGCAAGATCAAATATCATATCTTAAATGTGTAGTGGATGCAGATCAAATTTTTTTTCTATATAGAGAAAGAAGAGAAAGTTTGCTTTCATCATTCATTGTTATAACGTGTATCCATCAGTTTTTTTTTGTTATTTCCACCTGTCAGTGAAAGTATCTCGACATCGATCAATATATATATATATATACGGTAAAAGAGAGAAAGAACTATATATAAATGCACGACATGCATGTTATTTTTTCCCTATGCTGAATGAGTATTGTTAATAGCCAGTAGGATAGTATAGATGTGTAAGAAGATAATAATCGATTCTGATGACAGTCACCATTGTCGAAATATTTAATTCTTATCATACTATATTATGATATGAATAGATATATATATGTATCGAACGAAGTATTCGACTTATAATCTTTCATTTCAAGATAATATAATAGTTCTAAACATTATTCTATATGTGACATATTGAATTATTGTTGTAGTATTTTGTTTTTCTCTAAACTTTCAACAAAACAAGAATACGAGTGACAACAAAGTTAACAGCAGTCGTTTGATGTAAATCAGTGAATATCTGATGTTGTCATCATGTCATTTCATACAACATTTGTTTCTAAGTTTCTAAATAGCTATTAACCTTGATTTATAGCTATGTTATTTTTTTCTCCTTTTCTATGGATGCATACATATATACGGATGTGCTTCCATAAAACAACCGCGAAGCACAATAAGATGTAGCTTCTTATTTTTGCTTTCTATTCACGTTTCCTCACAGGAACTTCTGTAATTATCATCTGGTCTTGTCTATTATAATAAAAATGTGTCTTATCTTTCGTCATGTCTACATAGAAAATGGATGTTGTACGTATTCTTCATTTGGATGTGTTTATATGCAAGCATCAGTGCAACAAGTGTTGAATTGCTAGTTCTTACTAGTAAACGTAGAATATATACTATAGCATAGAACCAAATGACTGACTGTCATTGGTCTAATTAAATCTGATATATATATATATTATTGCGCAAGTATTCCCTATTGCTTCCAATACAGCGACAATCAAATGAAACTCGATCTACTTTAGTCAGTCGTTGTGCATGCTGTCAATATTTACTACAATCAATCTATTCAGACCTAATGTCTATGAGTATATGCTGCTTATTTTTTTCTTTCTGTTCTATAGTCTATCACTCACTCGAATACACTCATTCTTCTGATGCCATTTAAGTATAATGCTTTATATGAGGAACTATCCATATCCTATACGTGTAATATACACATATACAATATGAGTGTTGAATAGTGTCATCGAAGGTTGTCTGACTACTATGTAATTATATGTCTATCGTCTAACTTTAGATATAATAAAAGCATATAAAATAATGTATAGTTATGAACATATACCAGTTGAATGGTTTACTTCAAATAGACGACTAAGATCATCGAAGTATCCACCACCAATGTCTCGACCAGTATCGAAAAGTTTTAATCGAATATCTGATTTTATATTTCCTGATACAGTACACGTACATTTTCGTTCTTCTTCTTCTTCTTTTCGTCATCAAGAACAACAACAACAACAACAACAACAACAACAGCCTATTTTTCAACGATATCAGCGAACTGAAAATTATAGTTTACCTGTATTGAATCAACGTGATTTAATTATTGTTGAACGTTTACCAGTTGAAGAATTAGATGATATTGATTTACTCTATCGTGAACAATATTATGAACCAAATCGACAAATTCAACGTCGTTATGCATCAACTATTGATGAACGTCGATTACCATCGAATGAAAAAATTTCAACAGGATTAAAAAATCGATCCGTTGCATATCGTGAAAAATTTCGTGATAGAAGAAAACGTCATACAACTGATAATGCATATCATTCAATGTTAAAATCAATTATAGAAAAAGATCAACAACAATATACAAATGATAGAAATTCAAATTATATTCTTTCATATAGAACTACTCTTGAGCCAATTACAGATTCTGAATCTATGACATCTATTAATCAACAAAATCAACAAAAACAATATAATAATGATACTTCACGTTATCGAGTGCCAATCAATGGAACAATTCCTATTATAAATGAAAAAATACGTTCAAGACAATTTAGTTCAACAGTAAGTACTCGAGATTCATCAAGTGATACAGATATCACTGATAGACGTCCAAAAATAATAAATTCTACTAATTATCAACAAGATTCATCATCAGTAAGAAATATAATTTCATCGAAATATGAATATCATTTAGTGTATTTAGTATGTTAATTCATCAAATGTTCCTTCAACGATTTGGCAACGTCTTTCATCTAATCGTATACATGTTCAACATCAACCTGACAGATTCATTCCCATTCATTCATCAATGGCAGACACAAACAATCATGAAACAATGTCTGATTCGAATAATCTGATCACTTCATCGCCATTTAATAACGTTATTAATGATCAGATAAACAATCAAACATCATCACAGGACTCAAATCATCATGTTTCTGTGTGCGTCAATGATTTAAAGACAACGTTATTTATTGATGAAGACGCATTGAATAATACAAAGACAACTACTACTAATAATAATAATGATAAAAAAGGTAATTAATCGAATGTGTACTGAACATTTTAATTAAAACTTATAATTAAGATCAAATAAGAAAATAATTAAAAATAATACAACTATTTTTTTCTTTTTGCCTTTTATTTATTATTTAGCAGTTATAAAAACATTTGTTGATCGAATTATCAAACGATTACAGCATTTTAAATCTTCACTTGATAATGGTTTAAGTATGCGCTCTTCACTAATTAGATTTACTCCCTGTTTGAAATGCATGTTTGTGTGCTTTCTCAGATTGCATCTTTTATTTTTTGATACAAATGAAACAAGAAAAACAAATATGAAAAATTTATATCATATCATTATGTTTATTAATTTTAGTTCATATACGAAAACGAAATACATTAGTTAATGGATCAATTATTACTGCTGATTATCATTCACCTACGGAAATAATAAAAAAACAAACAAATATAAATCAATCAGTCGGTTTTGTCGATGAAAATAAACTTGTTCGACCATATTTTTTAATTAAACCACAAACAGCACTTGTATTACCTAATGAAATAGGTAAATTTATAGAAAACTAAATTTATTAAAAAAAAAAAATATTAAATTTCTTTTTTTCAGCGAAATTTAAATGTTGTTTTGGTGGTGATCCATTTCCGACTCTTATCTGGTCACATAATGGTTCTCGTATACCTGAAATATTACTTACCAGTGATACAACATCATCACGATATCAAACATATAAATTACATGATATTTATTATTTGGATATTGGACCAATTAGTCTTCAAGATCATGGTCAAATAAAGTGTACAATTATGAATAGATTTGGTCGAGAAGAAGCCATTGCTCAATTATATGTTGTTCGTAAGGACACTCAAAAAAAACATTGATTATTAATTATTATAGTTCTTTTTAAGCTTCAGCAGCTGACGCTACACCATATATTACACAGCCACTTAATGATATAACTATTATTGAAGGAAAACCATTAAAAATATCGTGTGGCATTACTGGTTTACAAGTAACGGTCAACTGGTTTCATAATGGAAAAGTAACGATACTTTCTTTTTTTTTTTTGAATAATTCTTATCAAACAATTTGAAAATATATTTTAGTTGATTTCACCGATGGCAGAATCAAAAGGTGATTATAATAATGAAAAATCTATATTTACTCTTTCTTGTGTATGTATTCAGATTAGAAATAAAAAATTTGAAATATTTAATTATGCTTTTGTTTTAGTGTTTGAGAACTGATGCTGGTACAATTGATTGTCTTGTTAAAAATCGTTTTGGAGAAGCAAGAACAAGTTGTCGTATTCAAGTAATCAAAGAACCAGAATTTGACCGGTGAAAATTGAATAACATCAAATATGATATAGAGGAATACATCATTTACTGATTTTGTTTTTCTGTACTTTTCCATTAGTCTAATATGTTGATTATTTGATTTCTTTTTCTTCTGTGTTGTATTGTAGTATACTATTGTTTTCCTCTAATGTCATTATAACTCAATAAATTAGTAATCAAAACTAATGAAAGAAAAGTATGTATAGAATAAAAACAAAATGTTTGTTTCTTTTTTTTTTCGATTAATTTCATTTCGAATAATTTGAAAAACTACTAAATTGGCACAATATTGAAAGCTTAACTTTCATTTTTTGAATAACACTTATAAACAAAAAGAGTAGCATTATTATCATTATCAAAAGTATGGATATTAAATATTGTTATATTGGAAAGACAAGAATAATCTATGGATCACATAAGCAAGAGAAAAAAAGAATATTAATATCGAGAAGAAAAAAAAAAGGATTAACGGTAAAATTATAAATTATAAGATCGTACTTATCAGCATTACTTTCCAAAAAGTTATACAATAGTTCATGTTCAGAATTTGTTCAATGTGTGTGAATACATCACATATGTATTTTTTTCTATGAATTATATTTGACGTTGTACTATTCTCTTGTGCATGTATGTATAATATATATATATGGATTTTTCCTTTTATGTCATATATGTCAGTGATTTTTTTTTCTGTCATTGTTATCCTATATACACATGCACACACCTTCACTTCTATGTGATCTTCGTTGATATTCTGTAAGCTTCTTCTCCAGTCTTTTCTAATTCTGCTATCAATTCTTGTTACGTTGTTCTTCACCTTCTGTATTTCGTGGTTAGTGTTATTGAATAAACTGAAATCACAATCATCAAACTATACCTAACTTACCTTGGAAACGAGATTTTTTCTTCTCTTTTCTCTTGTTCTCTGTTCTTGTTTTGCCTTTGACCTATCTTATGTACTTAGCGTTTTCCTAGTAAAACCGAACTCACGTTCATCTAACTTGAAATTAAAAATTGTTTTCTGTTCGGAAATAATTTCATAAAAAAGAAAAAAACACTAAACAAAAAAATGAAAGCATATTTATTTGTCTTCCAATATTTTGATGTTTTTTTTACCCATACTACCGTTTGTGGCGTCATATTGACCTAGAAGCATATAATTTTGTACGACTATTAAGCGCCATCTGTATCTTGGTAATTTTGCATGAACATGCGTCATTTTTACAGGGAGCTATTTGTCGTTGGTATCTTCCAATTGAAACTAAAAATCGGAAACAAAATTTTCACACTAATTATTCCAATTCAATCGATAATAAAGTATAAAAAAAGATAAAATAGCTTCATGCTTGGCAATGATGCATATACGTCGTTTTTTTAAATAAATTATCGTTATACACAATGACGTTTAGGTGGGAAAAAGAGTCATATTTATCGTAAAATATTATTCATGAGTAATAAAGGTAAAATATTTCGTTCTACACAGTTCTTTTTTAATAGTACTGTTAATCTTTATGATACTTTTTCTCAAGCCCTTATTTTTTTCACATGAGTCTATTTACATTCTATTAGATTACACTCCGAAAAAAAATGATTGTCTTGTTTCTAAGACACAGAAGAAAAAGAATTGCATGTTTGTTACTTTTTTTTATTTTTAGATGTTTATTCAATGAAAAAATAAAAATTATCAATATGTAGAAAAAAGAAAAGTTTTTTCTTTTAATTTAAATTCGATGCTTTCATTAAATCAATGCTATTTATTCCATCGTCTATTATCGTTTGATGATTTATCAAAAAAATCATCATGTAAAAATTTAAAATTTAAACGTGCTTTTGAATTTCTTCAGTTATTGTTCCTTCAACGTGTTTATGGTATTGATCTAATAACACGTTCATCAATTCGACAATTATTCAAACAACAACAAAATCAACATGAAGTATTTCTTGGTGGTTCATGTAATCCAACAACATGGAGATATGAACAAGCTATTCCTTATTTTCAATTACGTTCAATTTCTTATTATAATCCTCAAGTTGCTAATTGGACACCAGATTTAGTTGAAATTGAACATAATGCAAAAGAATCGGCAGAAATTTTATTTTTTGTTATTGATCATGACACACGATCATTGGGATCTATAGCTGAAGTATGTTATTTAATAGCACGTGACCGAACTGTTATTGTTATTATGAATCCAATGCCAAAAGATAAATATCAAACGAAATTTATTCAACAAAAAAATTCTTTTAATGAAAAAGATAATGAAAATGATTACGAAAATGTTTGTCAAGCAAGAGAAACATTAAGAGTATTACTTCGAATTAAAAATGTACCTGTTTTTGATAATGTTAAAGTAGGATTAGAATGTGCAGAACTTTTAATTAAAAATAGAAAACAAACTATTACTATATGTAAGACTTTAGATGAAGAAAAAAAGAACAAAAATCATCAAAAAAGTAAGCTATTGATTTATTGATAAAAATAAAATTCGTTAAAGTTTATCTAAACTTCTCATTGCAATAAAAAATCTCTGGGGCTTCTAGTATCGGAGAACTACCAATACGACTTGAATGTGGTTGACACCGCAAATACCTGTTTCCAAACAAAGTGGTTATTACAAAGTATACAGTGACCATGATCTCAGATGTCGTCGAAAAAATGAAAATAATTTTTAGAGATTATTCTTAACCATGCGTATTCAATGTCTGGAGATATATTATGTCTATACAGGCGGCGTTTGGTCAAAGTTAATTTAATAGCATCTGCAAAGTTCTTCTCAAACATTTGACATTGTCTAGATATGATAGAAGCCCTGGAAGGTCTTCTAGTTGGAGGAGTAGTTTACCATTAAATCTCATATTATTAACTGTGAGACTTTTAGTCGAGAAATTTATAACAATAGAGCAAAAATATTTTGATCAGAGTATTTAACTGACAACAAGTTTTAAACAAAATATCAGTTTAGAAATTATAAGGAGCACTTCGGATTTTATAATTACACTATGTGAAACAAAAACTGAACGCCTAATACTTTCTAAAATATTATTAGTTTTTAGAGATAGAAATATCTCGCTATATCAAGCACACTTTAGTACTTCATAATGAATTTTCGAATACTGTTTTCTACATGGAATAGTAATTTTGAATACATCATTGAATGATGAACCCATACACTATATTTAGAATGCTTTTTTTCTTGATCGAATTTTTCCATCAGAATTAATTTTAAGATGATTTCATGAAAGTTTGTGAGTCTAAGAATATGCCATTTTTGTTTACTGGTCATTAACTGGGTGTAATTACTAGGTACTGACATCGGTGTTCAGTAAAACACTGGAATATTTTGATAGAGTTGTTGTGTTAAGGTTGCAGTGAACTCGAGTGTCAGTGTACTTAACACTCCAGTGAATCCTATGTCGCTGACTCACTATTTAATGTTTATATTAACACTGCACATGACTAGTCATCATGAACGCAACAGTTTTTATTTTACAAAGCAAGTGCTAGCTTACATCTTACGTATATCAGAAGGACATGCATCTCTTTATAATAATTTCCAGTTTAATAATAGTATCTTGCGTCTTTTATTTTTTGTCTCAGTTTAGCTGATTCTTCTGAGTTGATGCCTGTTTAAGAAAAGCTGTTTTTCTTTCACTATAAATTTCTCGACAGTACTGCAAACCCTAAAAGATTCATGTCTAGGCCTTGTTCTTCTAGAGTTACTAATGTCGATATTGTGTATTAGTAAGGGTGTGGAGTTATGAATCCCATTCAAGCATAAATCCACATCCATGCTCGCTATGTCATTTGATAGCTTACTGGCAAGCTTGTCTGAAATCGAAAGTATAATAAAACAGTTGTAACTCTTGAAGAACAAGGTATAAACGTGAATCTTTTAGGTTTAGCACTAGTCTCACCGAGTTCTATATATAAATAAAATAGGAGCTCGATTAGTCTGCAACATCTATGAACGTTTTCTTATTGTTGAAATTAGTGATTGTTATTGATTATCTGTTTTAGTTGCTCGTTCACAATCGAATAGAACCAGTTTTGAGTCTCCTGATGATTTTTATCGTGAACAGTCTCGATCAGAATTGACTTTATCGTCTTCAGTCCCGGTTAATCGACGTCATAGTGCTACATCAATAACACATACAATTCGTCCTTTATCATCTTTAACTCCATTTCTTCGTTCAACTAAGTCTACTAATGGTTTTCGTTATTATCAACTACAACTCAGTACAAAATCAGAAATATCATGCTCAACAAATGAAAGTGAAGATGATGGTTATGGTTCATTAATAGCCAGTGATTACACATTCTCTCGATCAACATCATCATGTGGAACTGCTGATTTTTACGAATGTCCTATTGATCATCAATTTGACAACAATCCATTAACGTGAGAAAATCAATAAAACAATAAATTAAGTAATTATAATAAAACTATTCCATTTAGATTTTATCGGCCCATTTCTATATTAAATATTATGATATCAATTTTTTCGACATATATTTTATTTGTACATTTTCCTCCAACATCCAGTTTATCAATAACACAATCAATTTATTTTATTTGTGCAGCTTCTTATCGTTCTATAAAGAATACGATTTTTTCTTATATGAAAAATATAGTAACATCAAATAAAGAAACTGTTCATTTCAATTCTTTGACTTATATGTTCGATCTTTATATAGCTTCCGGTGATTATGATGAATATTGGTTAGATACATATGTATTACCAATTCTCGACGAAATAAATGTAAAATATATAAAACGACAAACTTGTTATGATAATGATCAACTTGATATTGTTTATGATATGCATGTACGTAAACGTTCACGCTTATTATATTATTTAATAAATGATAATGAACGTCTTTCAAATCTTGTTAGTGAACTTGCATATCTTATTGGTGAACGTAAATATCATATTATTGTATATTTACAATCAACAATCAATGAAAACTCAGATAAAATCTTAAACAAACATGAACGAAAAGAT